CTAACAAATGGGGCAATGCCATTCTTTCTGACGGAGGCATAGAATTCCATTGTGTATATATATCACATTTTCTTGACCCATTCATCTACTGAGGGGCATTTGGGTTGGTTCCATATCTTAGCTATGGTGAATAATGCTGCAATAAACATAGTTGTGCTGGTAGCTTTAGTGTGGCCTTGTTTGTGATCATTTGGGTAAATGCCCAAAAGTGGGATTGCTGATTCATAGGGGAGCTCTATGTGTAGTCTTGTGAGGAACCTCCATAATGCTTTCCAACGTGGTTGAACAAGTTTACACTCCCACCAACAATGCAGTAAAGTTCCCTTCTGTCCACATTCCCTGCAACAATGAGATGTACAAGACATTATGTTGAAAAACGTACAACTTTAGCCGGGGCAGGGCTGGGCTGGGGGGGGGGGTGGGGAAACAGAGGTGGTGGGGGTGAGGGGGAGATGGTAAGGGATGGGAAGGGGAAACAAAGGAGGAGGCAACAATGCTTCGTAAGAAATATACTGATTACATTGCCCATGTAATTGTAACCCCTCTGTATGGTATTTTCACTATTAAAAAAAAAAAGACAGTTGCCTAGCTAAAGGCAATTGACCAGAGGATGGTTTTTAAGACTTATAAAGAATACCCAGACATAGTTTTTAAAATGCTTCAAAAAACAAAACTGGTATTCATCAGAGATCGTGAAAAGATCCCTGAAGTATAGTCACTAATATAAAAGGATTTTGATGTTCATTTTCATTGGTAACTGCTTTAAGAGATCAATATCATTGCCTTAGAAATGGGTCACCACAGAGCAATTTGACATCCTTAATTAGAGTATTTGCAAAATAATTATCCAAGGCTTCATCAGTGGTAGTACAGCTTAACCTAGTAGGTGATTAAGAATTTTCCTGGTCATGTAGTTTTCACTTAAACATTACCTATTATGTGAATTAACATACGATAATTTCTTCTGCTAACTTCAGAAGAATTCTGAAAAAAGAAGAAGGAGAGAAAACATATTCTAAAACAATTTGGCTAATAAAGCAAATCCCCAAATGGAGACTTACAATATCTAAAGACCTAAATTGAAATTTCTATTTTTATATTTTTTAGAATTCGATTTTATTACCTTTAGTAGTTGTACAAAGGAATCGCCATTCAACAAAGCAGTTTATGAACACAATATATCTTGATCAATGTCACCTCTTTCAACATTCTCAGCCATTCCTTCCAACCCACCCATCCATCAATTGCCTTAATTTTATTACTGCATTCTTTCTTCCTTCTTCTCTTAATTCACCTCTTCTCCCTTGCCTATCTGCTGCACTCTGTTTCTAGTACCCATTCCCTGGTATTTATTTTGTTCGACTGTGATTTAGCCTTTCTAAGAAGTTATACTATTTAGTTCTCCCCTGAATCAGCCATATTTCAATTATTACACTTATGTATGCTTAGATACCCCTTGAAGTGTTTACTTATATGTTTATAAATTAGTTTTAGGATTCATGTGTGAGAGAAAACATGTATCTTTTGTCTCTCTCGACCTGACTAACTTCACTTAACATGATTTTTTTCCGGGTCTTTCCATTTCTTTGTAAATGATACATATTAAAGGACAAATAAAACCACAGAAGAGAAAATACACACATAATCCTCATCATCTAAAGTTCTCTGAATATGTAATCTTGTCATTGAAAACTGTGTGCTCTGGTTTGTGACTCCGTGTTAAAATTAGATAGTTGGATGTTTTAAAATTATGTGTTAGATTTGTACTCATTTACTTTTACAGTTTTACTTTCCCCATATTTATTTATTTTCCAGTGCTTATTCTCAAAGTTGAAGGTAGTTGAAAGTGGATAATATTACTATCAATTACATATGGCATCACCAAACACCAGGCTCTATGACCAGACTGAGTCCTGAGAACAAGTGCTGGTGAGTATGAGACATACTCAGAAAAGTATGTTCTTTCCTGATGTGCTCCCCGACTTGGCCTGTTCCCCAGTGCCTTGAATTTGTGTGAATGAGGAAATATACCACATTGGAATGACCATTTTCTGTATTTTTTTAGAATTCTTATTAAAGGATAAGTATGTCTCAAAGAGGCACCTTATTTGCTTCTCAGTGATGTAAGAGCCTCATTTGTTTTGCTGAAAGGAACGACCTTTGTTCTAGGTCCCCTGGGAGGGTACCTAGAGATCATAGCTTTCTTCTGGCCTGCACAAGTATGTGGCCTAACTAAAGCCTGCCTCCTGGGGACACCTGGGAACTATGGAGGAGGGAGCAGAGGTACTTCCTCTGTCATTTCCTTCCTAGGAAAGTGTGAGGGAAATCCTTTGCTTTTGCCAAGGTCTTTGTCCCCTGAAGGTGAAAATCTGTACAACTTTCTGGTCAGTTTTCTTCAAGCCAATACGAATTCACACTGTGGATCTATCTATAAGCCTTTTTCATGAATCCTTTATCAGTTATCCACAAAACCAGTTTAAAGATCACTTTTTGTACAAAAAGTGTACAAATTTGCCACAAGAACAAATTCTGAATTCATTTATACCTCAAGTTCCTTGCAGTACAGGCTCTTTTCCATATAATTTTATTATTCTCTCTAACCCCCGTTATAGTGTAGAATACAAAGTAAGATATTTATGCAGATTGATGTGGTGATTAACTATGTGTGGGACCGCTGATAACTTTATTAGGCTGCTTGATAACTACAAGGCTACTGAGGTAATTTTAAACGTAGCCCTTCCACTACCTGCATATAATTTTAGGGAGAGTTTTTTTTAGCAAGGAATTTACCAAGTTTCTCAGTTTTTCATCTCTACCACTTTTTGAGGTAGATTTTATTTTCCTCATTGTAGCCTAGCCAATAAATGGTAAAATTAGAATTCACACATAGGTATTTCTTATGCCAAAATTCTCTACTATTTTTTTTTATCACATTATAGTTTTGGTGTTTTGATTTTTTTCTGTGGAGGCAAAAGAGTATCCCAGACATATGAACATTTGTGATTTTATAGTGATATTGACCAGATAAATCAAATAGAAAGCCAGATGTTCTGATAGGTCATAGGTGGCTTCTTCTCTTGAGAACAAATTAAGGGTTTTTGAAGCTTATTCCCTGCTTTAATCAGTCAAGTCTTTTCTAAGGAGTATAGAGTATCAAAAGAGTAAAATTAGATTAAAAATCTATTTGTAAGACATAGTTTGTGAAATACTTAGTAAATCATTTTACACACACACACACACACACACACACACACACACACACACACACACACACAATTTACTGCCCTGAAAGAAAGTAATGTCAGAAAAAGCAGATATACACAACCTTTTAGCAGTGCTAACACTGTGTATAAATATATAAATATTTAGGAAATAATTGATACTTTATTGGTAGAAGCAGACATCTATCTTAAATTCTTTCTTCGCAAATTGAATATTTTAGTTCTCCTGATCTAAGTATTCTAGTTCTCCTGATTAACACAATGTGCTTTGAGATGTGCAATATTTTCTATCTCTCTAATGAAATCAAAGAGTGTTTATGAAAAACCAATTATGCTAATTACTCATAATATGATTGTGTGCTCTAAAGAGGGAAAGAAATGTGAAATAGCTCATTTAGAACAGCACAGTATTATACACGGAATGTTAAGTGGCACAAATCTAGGTGTAGAAGTAAAGTTATTCCATTGCAAATAGATCCAATTTAAATGAGATTGTAACAACATGAATATCATGACTTTCTTTGGAACCTGGGCTTTGATTAGTAATTTGGTAAGAAGCAGTGTATATGACTCTTAGAATTGCTGACTTTTATCACTATGACATTAGTACTTTCACTAGAAAAAATTGAACTTCAAGTAACATACAGAAACTATATGAGGTAGTTGAAAGAATACAAAAGTATGAAACCTGGGTCTGAGTTCTAGTTTGTATTCTACTTAAGGGAGATTTCATGAAACCAGTCATTTTGGGAATGGAGAAAATGAGAAGATTTAGCTGGTGAATTTCTTAATTTTTCAATTTCTAAAATTCTGTGACCCTGTATGTGAGCATTGTAAGAGTTTGTATGAGATGTTTCTTTTTCCTAAACAAAATTAACAACAATCATCAACTTGTTAATCTAAATTTTGTGTTAAACAGTTTTTGTGATGAAAGGGATGACATGGATCATGATGCATTGTATTCATAAATTTACATGTTGAATTGAAACTGCCTTGTACAAGTTCTTATAGATAATGAAAAAATTCTGCACAAAAAGAGTTTTTTGTTCTTTTTCTTTTTTGGCAGAATTATCTGGCTTGTCTGCATATACCGTCAGATTTATAGCCTGAAAAATTCTTTGTATTTTTATCTCAAAATAAAATGATACATTAGTAAAACATCTGTGTAAAGGATATACATTTTTGTGGTTGTGTCAATAATTTCAACTTCTAATGATTCTCTTTGTTATATAACTTTGCAACATCTGTGCTATGGCAGGTATCCTTTTCTGCTCCTTGACTCTGTCCTGAGCCCAGTGAGGTGAGTCTGCGAATACAATGTTAACAGATGTGACACAAGTGAAAGAAGCTTTAAAGGAGCTTGTACGTTGAATTTGCATTCTTTCACCTTTGCCATCACTCTGAGAAGATCATGAGGGGGCTACCTTACTGATTCCAGAAGGGAAGAAAAAGACCATTTGGGCAATGATACCCACATGTAAGCCCTGTCTCTATTCACTCACTCTAACTGATCTTTGGACTGGATACCGATAAAATAATCATGTTCTGACACTGAATTTTTGGCTAGTTTCTTATGCTACAGTAGCTACCAGATAAACTTCTATACAATTTTCATTGGCTTGCTCTGTTTAAAAACTTGTGCCATGAAATACCATAAAAATTAAGAATTCACTTATTTTTATCATCCATTGATGCAATTGGTAGGATCACCTCCTTTTGTTCCCCTGAGCCATAAAAGCAGAGAGATTATCTTTTAGCAGTAACACTTAACAATCTCACCTGTATGGAAACACTGCTGTAGGAGCCACCAATGACCCCTGCAATGAGCAATGGGATGTTTTCTTGAATGGCATACGATCCATCAGGACACATATACTCAGCTTCATCCACTTTAGTCAAGGATGCTCTGACAAATTCCAGGGATTGCTCCAGAGCATAGGTGTCTCTTGAACATGTATCCAAAATATGAACCCCCAGCTTCACTCCTGGTAGTAAGTAATTGTCTTTGTTAATTTCATCAATGGCAAACAACATGGCTTCCAGGCGTTGAATCCCTCGGTCTTCATTGATTCGCCCACATTCTTCAGTGCCAGTCCCTTTTTCATTTATAGGGAATAGGCCCCCTAAAACCAGGTCGCCTTCTATTTTAATCTCTTTCCTCAAAAAGTTATGATCCCCTAAAGAGAGTAAAAATCCTTTGGAAAACAAGGCTAAGGTAAGAACTTGCAGTCTTGTCAACATCTTTACGGATCCCATTTCTTTATTTCTGGGAGGTGTAAATGGGTGGAGCCAGTGTTGCCCACTAGTCTTCCTCTCTCATTTCCAAAGTGAACCTTTTGGCTGACCTTCAAATAGGGAGGATCAGACTAAAGTAGCCTGTCACCAAATTCCTAGAGAGATAAAAAAAATATATTAACAAAAACAGTAAAGAAAGCATCAGTGACTACATTGATGCTCCCCAATCAGCTCTTCGGTAGGAAAAAGATGCAAACCAGCAATTACTACTAAGCACACATGATACCACCACACTAGGCACAACCTCCCAGCTACTCCAACCCAGTCATTGCAACAAACTGTGATGTAGACCTCCCATTTAACAGAAATGAACATCAAGGAACTATTGCAAAGTCTACTTACAATGGAGGTAGGAGTTAGTCTCTAAGGCTAGCTCCAGTCCTCTCTACCTAGATATTTACTTTGTTTTTGGCAGGAAAGAGAGTTGCAAATAAGTCTGAGTATACTCTCTCATCCAGCTACATTTAAGAGCTTACTCTTTTTTATGGACTATTCATCTTCCTACTTGGCAACAAAACACAACAAAACAAAACACAATTAATTCTCTCACCAATTCAACATGTTTACCAAAACTTCCAGTATTTCACTTCATACTTCAGCTCTTAAAAACAACTCTTTGTGGCTTTGCTCCATTTCCTTTCATCATAGATCCTCAGCCCACTGTAGTTGAAATTCGGCCTCAACTGCTGTGACAAAACGGCTACTTCTAACCTACTGTCTTTGAGGGGGGGTGACTTGATTTTTTTATGCTGTCTTTTTAATTTTATTTTTCTTATTTATTTCTCTTATCTTTAAGTAGTTGTACAAAGGAGCTGCCATGTAACAAAGCAGTTTATGAATATAATGCATCTTAATGTCATGTTTTTCAATATTCTCACTATCCCTCTCAACCCATCCCTTCCCTCACTTTTCTTAATTTTATAGGATATACATTGAATTATTGACTGCTTTTCTCCCTCTTTGTCTCTTCATTCTTTACCTCTGCCCCTTTGATCCTATCTACCCCTTTCAAGTACCAGCTTCCTGGTGTGTGTTTTGTTGAATTTTGACTTTGTCTATGTAAGGAATTACATTATTTGACTTCTTGCTTGAATCTACAAGATTTCAGTTAATATATTTGTATATACTAGTATACTACCCAACATATTTACTTATGAGTTTATAAGCTAAATCTAGCTTCCATATACAAGGGAAAACATGTATTCTTTGTCTCTCTGGACCTGGCTGATTTCACTTGATATAATCTACTTTCTCAATCAAATAAATATTATCCTCAATTTTACCTGGCCTTTATGGAAATCTCTACTGTAGTTCTGCCTGTAACAGCTTCCTAGGTTTCCATTCTTAAACTTCATATCTGGCTATCTTTCAAATTCCATTCTTGAACAGCTTGCAATCTCCATTCCTGGGGTAACTTGTCTGTGTTCATAGTTTCAACTATCACTTAAATAGGTTCCAAACTCTTAAGTCAACTGCCTGCTAAGCAGCTTCACCCACACATCCCTTAAACACCTCAAAGTCTATATGTTACACACTCTCCCATATCTCTGTAAGTGGATATTCTCTGAGTGCCAGAAATCTTCACTCTACAGTGTTGTCATGCCCTCTCTTTAGCTTTCTTCTGGTTAAACTCTGAGGAATCTACCTGTTCAACCTGTATCAAAACCACTTCCTTTTCTCTTGTGATGTGTTGTAGCATGATGGTACTAGTTTCTGTAGAGTTGCTACTGGCCCTCAAAGCACCATTTTATGGATTAGGAAAGATTTTCCTCTCTCATGTACTGAAAGTTTAATTTTATCATTGTATCACTTGGACAGTTATTAAGTTATGCTAGATAGTTATGATAGGTGATGTGGGATTGATTGCTGATGATTGCCTCTTTTAGCCAGTGGTAGACAGTGCCTTGTGGGTCCCTTACATTGCAAGGTTTTTAATGAGTGCTAGTTTGGGGTATGTGCAGTAGATTATAGCTTAGATAGTTCTATAAACTAATCTTCTTTCTGTATATGCTGTCACAGGCCAGCAAAAACACTTCCACTGGGAATCAGACGAAGTTCTGCTGTGAGGATCAAGTTTCTGACAGAAGGCTGGAATGTTATCAGGGATCTTCCCAAAATCCTGATGGAGAACAGTGTAGTACCTGCATAGAGTTATAGGCCATGGACCCATGGTGGTAACTCTGACCACTGGCACTAGAACAAACAAGTTACCAGCACATTACTCTGCTCACTTCCTTCTATCCCATCTGGTAACTTGGAGGTTATTGTTTTCAGTCACATGAGACGTCACAGCATGGGAGCATGGAGTCATGAAACCCTTCTCTGTTGGCAGCCGTGTGTGTGTGTGTGTGTGTGTGTGTGTGTGTGTGTGTGTGTTGTATGTATGTGTGCTTAAGTTTACTTGTCTGCCTTCCTACTTTTGTGTATGATTATATGTTGGAGGGATTTTAGGCTCTTCCAGACTCAATTAGCATGCATGAACACCACACCACCTGTGCACTCCCAGATAAATTAGCAAATGTTAACTGTCTGAAAGGTGTCCCATTGGGAGAGATGCTCCAATTCAGACTTTATTATTTAGTGTGGCCTGTCAGTCTCTGAGCCTTCCCTTGCCTACAGGTTTAAAATTTTTGTGAGCATTTCTCCATGATCACAATCTTGTCCTAAGCTAGCTGTCAAGCTTCACGGCTTACAGTCCCCATCAGCTTTGTGCCATCTCTGTCCTCAAACCTTAATCCCTAGATATGAACTACATGCTCTTCAGGAGATACCCGTGTGTTGCTTCTGCACATGCTGCTCTCTTTGCTAGGAATGCTTTTCTATACTCTTCTTTATGATTTAAGTTACTGTCAGCAAAGTCTGTACTATTCTTTCTGTCTCCCTTCCTCAGTCAGTTCCCACTTTCCTGCTTCATATTCCCACCGTTCAAAAAAATACTTGTTATCACTGTCATAATTAATGTTTGATTCCCTATTTGATTGTTAAGAACAAAAGGAGTGGTTCAGCATTTAGGATTCTTAAGGTACTGAGAAGGAAAAAAAACAGTGAAAAAAGTTGAGATAGGAATTAGTCCAATGTTTACTTCAACATTTTTTTTGACATTTCTCCTTCTCCTGTTAGCAGTGCCCTTTAAAACCCAGCTTTCTACTTGCTCTCAGCTCTCTTTTTTTTCCCCATACGGAACAAATGATCAGTTGCTTTCTTGAGACACACACAGTCAGCTGGGTTTTGTTTTGTTTATTTATTTAGGTGTGAATCTCAGCAATGACGGCAGCAGTTGTCAGAATGTTCAGTGTGAACCCAGACTCTCTCCAGGAGATCTGCTGCAGGGTCCCAGGAAGTCTAATAACAATGCTTTTTTAAAGCTGATATTTTAGTAGTATTTTTGTTTGTTTGTCTCATATCAATTTCTGATTCCTCTTTGATCTCTATGCGCAATTCTCTTTGAAGTAGATCTGGCACAGATGGATGCGAAGACACTGATCATTACTGCTGATGAGGAAGATGTAGAAATTGCCCTAAAAAGTCATGCTTTATTTACCTTATAAGAGAGAATAGCTAATTCAAAGAAGGTCATCAACATGCTTTCCACAGATATTTATTTTAAAAATATCTTTATTAAAAATCTCTTGAGTGGGAAGGAATTTTGATACTCTGAATACTCAAAAGAATGAAAATGACTATAGCCTATAGAAAGATTAATTGCCTATTGAAAATGCTCTAAGAAGTCTTCAAATAAAATACCATCTCACATTAAAAGTAATATTTTATATGTAGATAATATTATATAATATTATATAAAGATAATATTATTATATAGAGATAATATGACTTACAATATTCTATATATGTCCATATATACCGATATAAAGCTCTGAGGCTTAAGCCCAGAGCCTCATGTTCTTGCTTAGCTTCTTTTGTTCAAGGCTAGTATTCTACCACTTAAATATTTGTGTACCTAAGGTTTGGCATAGTGTTTGAAATCCAAAAAACATTCAAGAAATGTTTCTTAAAGGATGTAAATGTCCATGACAATTATATTTGAAAATAACTCTTCACTATTTTATATATGGTATGGGAACTGGGAATTATAGAAAGGGAGTTGTTTTAATCTCATGATCTGCCTAACCAGCCCAGGTCTGAAGGCCAACGATTATAAATTAGGAAGATAGTTTGTACAGGTTGAATTTTTTCAGGCAAGATGTATAAGATATGCATGAAATATAAATGAACCTCATATTTAGACTTGGGACCCATATCCAAGATATCTCATTATGTATTAAATAAAAACCATGCACATTATCCTGTTTCAAAGCTTCTAAGATATATCTACTCATCAAATACTTATTGAGCACCTACTATGTGTATGCTAAATCATGAGCTAAATACTAGAGTATATACTTTAATTATAAATGTATGAACATCATTCCAGCTGTCAAAATCACAATCAAAATGCTTAGATATTTAATGTTTTAACCAATTATTTCCCTCATTTATGAAAAATTTGAAAGTATACCATGAATTTCCTTTAATATGGGCAACTCTTACTAAGTGCTTGACTAAAAAAGCCATCCATTCACACTATGTGCATTACAAATTGGGGTTTGAACTTGGGACCTTGTTTACTTGGCAGGTACTCTGCAATAGAGCCACACTTCCAGGCATAAATTTAAAAACGGGATACTCAATGTATTCTAAAAATTTGGCTAATAACAATATCATGTAATATGTCTCTTGTTTAAGCCTTTTAACAGAAGTTACTTTAAGTAATATTTAGTCTTAGAGAATTACAGATCAGCAATTAATTGAGTTAATCTAAACACACTGCCTCAACGTTTTCTTGTTTAGTTTATCCTGAAGCAGAAGTTGTGATTAAGATGGTAGGACCATGCATAATTTAGAAACATGTAGGATTCTTTAAAGACAAAGCCCTAAGAAACAGAAAGCTAAAAGAAACCCTAGGTCTCCTTGGCACAGGCCGAAATTTTCTTAATAGAGACCCGGAAACACAACAAATCAAAGAAAGGTTGGACAAATGGGATTGCATGACGTTGCAGAGCTTCTACATGGCAAAGGATGTAGCTAGCAAGATTAA